GAGCAGGTTGGATGTTGGCCCTCCAGAAGCAGGACTGGACACCCCTGTACTACACTGTATCTATCAGATGTGATGTGTTTCTATTGTGAATAGCCAGTTTCAATCTGTCAACCTGTGACCTGACTTTGTCTAGATCCAGTCATTCAGGCTGAAGTGGACGCTTGGAGGAAGAATCTGGCCAATTACTCTTCTCAGTATGTGGGACAGACTCTAGTCTATCTCAATGGGACTTTTGAGGAATGTCGATTTCGTGAATGTAATTTGGGAAATTTAATCTGTGATGCCATGGTGAGTGCATAAATCTGTGATTTTAAAGATAAATTTGCTGTTATTCTTATGCATTTATTTTATTTTGATAGCATTATTTTGCATATCATTTTTCATGGACATGAGGACTACTCTAGATGGGACTAACACCCAACCTTAATGGCTATAAATGCATTCAGTCACAAGGCAGATGTTAACCTTAGGCCCCGTTTACACCTGGTATTATCATTAGTGTAGTGAAATCTGAGAGAAATCTAGGTGTAAACTGAGTCCAGAGTGTTCTGTAATCACCCAAGCACATTTGGAGGCATGTAAATACATCACATTTGTAGGACCATCCACTGATCTCATCAATCAACCATTGCTGGTTACAAGCAGCTTTAAAATAAAATATCCATTACATCAAAAAATTGGAAAGGTCAAGCGTGCCAAAACTTCACACGTGTTCTTCAGTATCTCACAAAAGATTCAGATCATATTTCACTTCAAAATCCTTTCTGCTTAAAAAAAGCCTATTTTTTTAGACCCATTTTGTAATATTTCATGATAATTCAGCTAATCATAACCCCAAATTCTCATGATTGCAATGTGGAAATAAATTTAAAGTGTAAAGTAGGATTTACATCATACAACATGGTAGTCTGCCTGATATCAACATGCAGAGACACAGATTATGTGACTGTTTTTGAATGCGTGTTTGTTTGCATCTTGTATTAACATGTCTTTTCTTGACTTGTAATTGGTTCACAAGAAAGGTACTCATACCAGGTGCAAACAACCACGCATTCAAAAACAATCTTTGTGCCTGAAACAGTTCAATCAAGCACTTATCGCTCAGCCAAAACGCTCAGCTGCAAAACCTCAATCCCAATATGAACTATCAGCAGTCTCAGAAGGAAATCAAATCTTGAAAAGTAACAACAATGATCCAAAGAGCAAAGATTTTAACCAGTGAAAACGGAAATTGCTATTTTAAGATTTGCTGAAAATCATGCTCATAAGACCCATAGACCCTTTCCGCTTGTATTTCAGGTCCATAATAATATTAAATATGCTGATGAAATCCAGTGGAACCATGTCAGCTCTTGTATTCTGAACGGTGGAGCCATTCGATCACCTATTGATGAGCGAAACAGAAATGGTACGGCTTTATCCTGCTTTCATTTACACCATCTCATTTTCACTTTTGCTTCCTAACTGGACAGATCGATATGCCTTTAGTTTAATTGACTTGGTGTTATACTGTGATAATTACGCGTCCCCTTAATTTTTTGAGCAGTATATATATTACCTTTCAAAATCTTAAACAAAACTCCAGTGCATATTCGAAATAATACTGAAAGCGTCCCAATGCATGTTTCGACTGAAGGTTCCATCACGATGGAGGATTTGATCGCGGTGTTGCCATTTGGAGGTACATTTGACCTGGTCCAAATGAATGGCTCTACTCTGCGCGAGGTCTTTGAGCACTCAGTTCGCAGATACGGAGGAAGCACTGGTGAATTTCTACAGGTGGCAGGTGCGTTTACCTTGGGAATTATATTCTAATCTATATTTCCCCTCAATCGGAGTACTGGAATCCCATGGACAAACGTTATGAACTTAAAGCATTATAAAACAAGTGCATATGTCCCAACTAGTATTAATTTTATACGGTTTATAATGCCTCTGCAGGGTTTCAGCTGGTGTATGATTTATCGAAACCACCTGGAAACCGTGTTAAAAGTGTGAATGTGCTCTGCACTGAGTGTCGGGTGCCCCGTTATAAACCGCTCAACCCAAAGAACGTGTATAAAGTGGTGCTGCCCTCTTACCTAGTGGACGGAGGGGATGGATACTCTATGATCAAAGAACAGAAACTCAAGCATGACAGTGGTAAGTCATTATATATATGCACATTTTACTGCACATTTCATCATATACTTAGCATTACAATATACTGTGTACCATATTCCATAGGCGACCTGGATATAGCAGTTTTTGCCAGCTACATCTCGGAGCGAAAGAGAGTTCATCCAGCTGTGGAAGGACGGATTCGGTTTTCAAGCTCTTGTATTGGACATCGAGGATATTTGTCCACTATTCTGCTGGTGTGGGTACTCTGGGTCATGTTTGTTTAGCCGATTTTATTGTACTTGTGAGAAAAGCATGTAACCATTTGTGTATAATTGTACAGTCAGAGGAAACCTTTGACCCAAAGATTAGTTACTGTCATAGAAGCAAAGCTTACTCAAAGAGATTAGCAGCACTGTGATGTAGTACGGATCACAGAAAGTCACTCGTCTTGTTACACAAGGTCGTATTCTATAGGGATCTTCTATAGACCAATTTGGAGTAGACGTCACAGTTACGTCACTTGCAGCTGCGCGCGCATTGTGGTGGCAGAAAAACACTGGGAACAAGTGGAGGGAAATGGGTAAAATCCATGGAATAAGAGAAAAAAACGTATTGTTGTGCTTTTGGATGTCAGAATCAGAATGCAAATCATTTTTATAGAATAATGTCATCAAAGACTCCATTTGAAGCTAAACGCAGACGTTTAAACAGACAAACTATGGATGAAACCTGCTATGATTCCCCATACTTTTAAAGCATAAATTTGATTTAAACAATAGGTCTATATAATATTCACATAGGGGACATATTGTATTAGCCCTACAGTTATACTATTTAAACCTATAACATTTTACATTACATTTAGCCTACCTATTTTAACTCACAATTCTGACTTTTTTT